TTTTTTCTGAATTCGAAATTGAGTATGTCGGTCTTCTTGCTTGCAAGTTAATCCTTCTCAGCCCAAGTTGGCCTGACAGGCAGGCTATAAGCCTACCTCCTAAATTATCTCAATTCTGTCGATTTTTTTATGGGCAATGGGGATGGGGATGAAGTAAAACAAGTACATTCATCTAAAGCGCTTGGCCGGAGCTATATTCACACATGGGCAGCCACTCTAAGCATTATATACAGTACTTTTTACTATCATTACATTTCTTTAACATTTTCCCGACTAAGTTTTGTTTCTTTATTCTCTGTCTTTGTCTATAGAGCTAGTGTAAGTATTTCACAAACTTATGGTAACTAGTTCTTGAGACCACACTTTCCTCTTCGTTGCAAGAGCCCAAACCTGAGAAATTCTACAGGTGATACGCAACTTTTATTCTACTTTCATAATGCAAAATATCTTTTTGTTCTTTTTTTTTTTCCTTGTTTTTTTTTTCAAGTAAAAAAAAACAACTAGTAAGAGTTTTACTACGACACTTGCAACACAATAAGGTCATATAAATGCCCACTTTTAGAGGTGTTACTAGAGAGAGTACGATAAGGAGGGGAGATGAAGACGACAGATATTTGATAGGAAAGAAGGAGCAAACCATACCAGAGCCTTCGCCAACCACCCTTTCTGTATCTGCAGGCGGGTGGTTGAAGGGTGCCTCTGGTAGGTCCTATTTCACACTTTGCCTCTGTTCTGCTCGTCCAACTTTTTTCCTCACTAAATGGCGGTTCTAGTTTCAATGTGCTTATCTTTACTCACACAAAGTAAATGACCTGTATTGTCTTGATTTGGCTGTCTTCACTCAAAGAAGGTATATGGCTGTTATAATTTCATCAAGGGGCTTCTGTTTATTCGAACACGTTAATTTTGTTTTTGTAAGTGTTTTACGGCGCTCGCAACTGCACGAGGCCATATGAGCGCACGGGACACTTTAAAAAAAATTCAGTTGGTAGAAAAATTTTAATTTTGCCTTGGTGGCGGCCGAAGCCTACTCTTATCGATTTTGGACCATCAAGGGATCTTTAGCTTTCGCAACTTACACACGGGACCTCCGAGATTTTTCACTCTTGTCAGAGAAGGCTAGGTGTAGATCTTTCCTACCGTAAGACCAGGGGTGTGGCTGAAAGACAGCAGTAAGAAGGCAAGGAGTAACAGTAGAAAGGCTGCAGAAAGAATCAGGAGCCGAGAGAAGGGTGCAAAGGAGGTGAGGGATGGGGGCAGAAAGAGGAGACGAAAGCAGACGACAGAATATTACAAGAGAGCAGGAAAGGAGTGAAAGGGGTACAATTTTAGAGAAGAAAAATTTCCGTCGCTGTCCGGTCAAGCACGTTTAGTGACCATTATTGTATCGATGTGCTTCTCTTTATCAGGAGAAAGCAAATGGCCGTTAATGTGTCGACGTATTTCTCTTAGTGTTTCTCTGTACTCAAAGTAAATAACCCTTATTATATACCAAATGGGCTTGTCTTTATTCGCACTCAGTAAATGACCGTTATTGCCTCGATGTGCTGATGTGCTTCACTCTGTTTAAAAAACAAAACTCAAAAAATTTAATGAAATAAAATATATAAAAAATATAATCGAAATATAAGAATACTACTACTACTGCTATTGCTGTTGCTGCTGCTGTTGCTGCTGCTGCTACTACTACTACTACTACTACTACTACTACTACTACTACTACTACTACTACTATTACTACTACTACTACATAACATTTATATAGCGCATTTTCCAATAAAAGAGTTAGATCTAGCTCAATGCCCAATAATAGTAATAATAATTATTATAACCCAAATATGTTTGCAGCGGCTCCTACCTCATCGCAGCGCCGTCCACTGTTTACCGTGGGTCAGTTCTTGACCTCACAGTGGACATTCTGAACACCACGGGGGTGGACATCGAGGCCACTCTGCAGTACTACTCCTACAACGCCTCCGAGCGAAGAAACGTGATTGAGAAGGTCAACTCTGTCCGCGGAACCTTTGGACGAGGTTGGTGTGTCTTGTGTTCTGCGTGTCTTAGGTGTCTTGTGTGCCTTGTGTCTCGTGTCTCGTGTCGTGTCCCGTGTCTCGTGTCGTGTCCCGTGTCTCGTGCCTCTTGTCATGTTTGTTGTGTCTTATAACTCCCGTATCTCATGCCTCAAGTCTTAAGATTTTCGTTTGTCTCGTGTGACTTATAATTTTTGTCCTGCGTCTTGTATAGTGTGTCTTAAAATTGTGTCTGATTGCCTTCTTCTGGTGTCTTGAGTCTAATAACTTTCGGTGTGTAAAGTGTCTTGTTCTTTTCGTGTTTTGTGTCTTGTGTCTCACAACTTTCGTTTTGTGTCTTGCGCAGTGTGTCTTGTGTCTCGTGTCTTATAACTTCCGTCTTGTTGTGTGTATCTTATTACTTTCGTATTGTGTTTTGTACAATGTCTTGTGTCTGATAAATACCTGTGTCTTGTGTCTTCTGTCTTGGTCTTATAACTTTTGCCTATGTCTTGTGTAGTGAGTCTAATATATCTTATAGATTTTGCCTCGTGTCTTATGTAATATGTCTTGTTTCTTATAAAATTACCCGTGTGTCTTGTGTATCTTGTCTTTAACTTTAGCCTTATGTCTTATAATGTGTGTAAATGTACATTTTGTCAGCTTTACTTCTCCTTTCATATTGAATTTTAATGAGAGTAATATATATGATTTAAATTTTTTTATGTATACCTGCATGTGTTTTTATGGTCCTGTACAGCCAAGGAAAATTTCCCTCTGGGATAATAAAGTACTATCTTATCTTATCTTATCTTATCTTATCTTATCTTTTATTTTGTTTCTTATAACTTTTGTCTTGTGTCTTGTAGTTAATAAAGCAATATTTCTGTGTCGATTTGTGAAAACCATTTTCGTTGACAAGGCATTGCCTTGTCCTTGAACGAGGTAAGTTGTTGGGGGGGGGGGGGGAGATTTGGTCAACACCTTTCTGTAGAAACAATTTTATTTTCACAGATTTTTCTGTGGACGTTTGATTTGGTTTGTTCTAAGGCGACAGGGAAATTTCTGGTCAAAGTTCACCTACGGTGTTTTACTGGAGCAAATATTTTTCCAAAATATGTTTCTTTCACGTTGAATGGAAGGGAGGGCGGGGGAAAAGAAAGATTGAGAGAGAGGGAGAAAGAGAGAGAGAGAGAGAGAGAGAGAGAGAGAGAGAGAGAGAGAGAGAGAGAGAGAGAGAAGAGGGGGGGGGGGAGAGTCTGATAGCCGGATCTAAAAACACACTTCTTGTCAGTGTTTGAGTTTTTCTTTGTTTATTCAATCTGATTGCGGTAAACTGCACTCCTTTCTGGTGACATATTTGACCACACATGACCTCCTGTGACATTTTTGCGGTGTTTATTTTAGAGAATCTGCATCGTCCCGGTTTGATGAGGACGGGAAAAAAGAAGGGAGACCTCGGCAAATTCATTAACGACTAATGTTTGGACTGGGTTTTGTTTTCATGAAAACTTTTTTTTTTTTTTTTTTTTAAATTCGCTGATTCATTAACCTTTTGTTTGGGTTGGGGGGTTTTCCCACTGAAAACAGTTGCAAAGTAGGAAAAACTCATTGATGTTTGAATCCGGGATAGAGAGCGACAGTATAAGATTAATTACTTAGGCGTTCTTTTTTTGTTTTTATTCACCTGAGAGCTGAGACACATTGAAGTGTCTTCAGTGTTGGAAATTTGGGAAAATAAATTGCGTTTTACTTGTACGCATAGCACGAAAATAGTTTATAAAAGTGTTTGTGCGTGTGTGTAAGGGGATTGGGGGAGTGTTGTTCTTTTTTAATTGGCTGTTACTGACATGCAAGGTTGAAACAGTCCTATTCGTAAACAGTCTAAATTGCGTCTTTAGGTGCTCAAATTGCGAGAGAAGGGGGCCCTATCAGTATTGAGTTTCTGCTCTCTTCCCATCAAATACCAACTACAACATGGTTGGTCGGCGGGTGCTCTGGTAGGGTTTGCTTCTTCTTTCCTATCAAACATCTATCGTCCTTATCTGTCCTCCTTCTTTTTTGTGTTCGTTACTCACTTGTAACATATCTAATCTCCAGCACTCATATGACCTTACTGCGTTGCAAGTGCCATAAAACTCTTACTAAAACCAACTACAATCGGTTTTTGTGGTGTAGCAGTTAGGCACTTCGCCGCCGCACGCAGAAGACCTGAGTTCGTTTCCCGTACGGGGAGAATTTGTTATCGAGTATTTCGGTATCGCTGGGGCGTCACATTTCACTCAGCCTGGGTGGCCTTGATGAACAGGAGCGACGCCCGCCTCCAAAATGATCTAAATTGTTTCAATGGAAATGTAAAACAACGTTATTAAAACACCACGAAAACTGCAATGCGATCGGTATAATTACCCCTCCGCCTTTCAAAGAGGCCGTTAGCTCTCTCATATTTCATTTCTTTTTTAATAAAATACCCTGTATTTGCCCATAGATTTATCTAGCTATCTTGATTGCCTTTCTCTCCCTTCACCGGGGTATATGCCATGGATAAACACTTTCCACCTTTCTTTCTCCTATGCTAGCCTCTTGATGTTATTCCATGTCTTCCCACTTTTCTGTACATCAATTTCTGTGATTCTTCTCCAAGTTTCACGCGGCCTTCCCTGTGATCTTTTACCCTTTGGATTCCAATCCAACACTCTCTTTGATATGCAGCTGCCTGACTTCCTGAGGATTTGTCCAATACATCGCCAGTGCCCTTTTCCTACCTCATCTCTGACTGGGATCTGGCTTGATTTCTTTAACACTACCTGTCTGTCCGTCTGATCCTCAGTAACATAACAAAAACTACAATGTGGTCGGTAAAATTCCATCTCCCCCTTTCAAGGCGGCCGTTAGCTCTCTCATATTTCATTACTTGCTTCGAATATCCTGTATTTGTCCATAAATGTATCTTGCTATGTGTTGGAGATAATAAGAAACGGGGGAGGGGGGGGGGGGGTATGAATGACAGAATGAGAATGTCATGACGGAGTAAATATATGGAGGGAGTGAGTGTATGAGTAAGAGGAGGAGAGAATAATATGATGTGTTGATACGATATAATATGTATATTATGGGTCGAAGAAGCTGGTGAAAGCACACTGCCTTTTACTCTTTTTTTTTTAATGGGAAGGATCCATTTTGCCTTGTTTGCCCATGACAAGAAAGTCCGAAGTAGCCCACCTCATTTTAGTTTTAGTAGAGGTTTTACAACGCTCGCAACTGCATAAGGTGATATGAGCGCCAGAAGATTAGAGGTGTTACAAGAGAGTAACAAACACAAAAAAGAAGAAGGGGAGATAAGGACAATAGATGTTTCATAGGAAAGAAGAAGCAAACCACCCCAGAGCACCCGCCAACCACCCACGGCCCACCTCCTACGAAGGGAAGTAAACCAGTTACAATAAATCTGTCAATCGGTTCTAAGTCCTTTTTGCTATCTGTTTCAGGTCCTACTGGAACTTTGTCGATGCCGGTAAGTTTCTGTGGCTTGTAACGTCTCTCGGGTACTGTGCACATAGTAACCATAGAAAATGAAATAATCAGAGTACTCAGAATTGAATGACCATAATAACTAGAATAACAATAAAAATTATTGTAGCGGTAACCATAGTAGCCATGGTAAGCACAAAAATCACTGTAACCATAGTAACCAGGGTAACCAAAGTAACATTGAGTGAGCAACGTGATAGCAGCCATTGTGACGATAGTGACCATAGTAGCAGTGAGCTTAATAATAGTAACCGTTGTGTTATTGTGTATTTGTGTGTGTGTGTGTGTGTGTGTGTGTGTGTGTGTGTGTGTGTGTGTGTGTGTGTGTGTGTGCGTGTGTGTGTGTAGTGGATTTGTATGATATGTTGGTTTGTTTTAATTGATTATCCTATCCTTGATTGATTGCTTGATTCATTCATTCATCATTCATTCATTCATTTATTCATTCATTCATTCTGTCTTTGATTCATGCATTCATTCGTTCATTTCTTCATTCATTCATTCATTCATTCATTCATTCATTCATTCATTCATTCATTGTATCCCTGCCACCCATGTGAAGGTGTCCACGGACCTCAACTGCCCAGGCTGCCAGCTCCACATCAGAGCGCGCGGTGGTCTACAGTTTGAGAGAAATCTGCCTATGCGTCTGTCCAACACAGTTGTCTCTGTGCTCGTACAGACAGACAAAGCTATCTACAAGCCTGGACAGATCGGTAAGTTGTCTGTCTGTCTGTGTATCTGTCTGTCTGTCTGTCTGTGTGTCTATCCATCTGTTTGCCTGTCTGTCTGTCGATCTGTCTGTCTCTCTGTCTGTCTGTCTGTCTGTCTGTCTGTCTGTCTGTCTGTCTGTCTGTCTGTCTGTCTAGCAACACTCTCTAGCCTATACTGCTCTAGACTGTTACGGCCTTGCCTGTCTCTCTGTTTACTTATCTATCTATCTATCTATCTATCTATCTATCTATCTATCTATCTATCTAATCTATCTCGCTGTTTATTTATCTATCTATCTATCTATCTATCTATCTATCTATCTATCTATCTATCTATCTATCTATGATGATTCTGGAACGTTCAAAGGATAATATTATAACCAACTGACCAAGGACAGTCGAGTGGTCAGAACATTATATCCATACCTAATCCTTGTCATAATCAAAATAATCACCATCATCATTGTCATTATCGTCATTGGGAAAAGACCCGCAGCTGTCTGGGTAACCCGTGAAGCAGAGCTCTGTGGTCAGCAGTAATGACTCACAAGTACCACAGATCACACACGGCATGCTGAGGGGTCACTCAGCTGGTGGGATGGCTCTCTCTCTCTCTCCCTCTCCCTCTCTCTCTCTCT